CCCCCCCCCCCCCCCCCTTTGTTTGGGCCCTCACCTTTTTCGCCACGGTGAAAAAAGCCTCGGGGCGGTTTGTTGACTCCCCAAAAACCCCCCAAAAGAATGGCCCCAACCTCCGCCGAGTGGAATACTTCTGGCAGGCTGGCCCCCCCACCAGGAGTTGCCAAAGGGCGCTGTGCCCGGGTGGCATATTGTGGGGCCGTCAGGCTTCTCCCACCGCCGCCGCGTCGGGGAAGAAGAGCTGGTAGCCAACGCCGACGACGACCGCCCCCCCCGAGCGTCATCCACATCAGCATCGTTCCCAGGGGACCGGAGGGCCCGGGCTCGTCCGGCATCAGGATCTGCGCAGACGGCTCGGTCCACGCGCACACCTCCTTCTCGTCCGGCGAGGGCAGCGCCTGGATCAGCCCGAACATCTCGTCGGCCCAGCGAAGGTAGTCGGCCTGTTTCTCGACCGGGTCGTTGGAGTCGTGCGTCTCGTCGAGCTCGGCGCGCTTGGCCATCCGCCGCGAGCCGCACTCACCGATCCACTTGTCGAGCAGCCGCGGGCAGTTCTGGAAGGTGTCGTAGACCGAAGAGCCGTTGCCGAGGACGGCATGTTGCAGCCCGGACAGAATCTGTGTCGGTGGCGCGCCGTCGACGCCCTTTGCCGCTGCGTGCAGGGCGTTGAAGAAGCGCTCAAGGTTGTCCGGCGGATCTCCCTCTCCGTAGGAGCTGGTCGCGACGATGAGGACATCGCACTTATCCATGAGGCTCGCGACGTCGGTCGACGGCCGCGAGGTTTGCTCGATTACGTAGCTCTTGGTTTTCCCGTCCAGCTTCTTATCCCACTTCGAGACGATGCCACGTATGATGCCGGTGGTCGTGCCCGACTCCGAGCCGATCACGACGAGCACACGGGTCGGACCGGCGCTGCGGCCCATCGCGGTGTCGAGTGGTTTGGAAGACGGGGAAAGAGACGGTACCAGTGCGGTGTCATCGGCGTCGGTTTCAAAATATGAAAAAATGCTCTGGGCGACGCAAACCCGCAAGGGCTAACTGTTTGTGTCTGTGTGTCGCTCGTGCGTGCCGTCATCATCTGTCCAGCGTCCACCCATACCGCGTTGGTGTCCAGTCCGAGCCTGGCTGTTCTTCACCTTCCTACATACATACATAACAACACAAACAACTCACAAATCAACAACTCTATTGCAAAATCTCTCTCTCTCTACATAACTGTAGTGAGCTTCGGGCTGGGGGAGGGCGCCTGGGTCTAAATTTAGTGCGTGTGAATGAACTTTAGTGACAGTTTAGTGCGCAGCACCTCTGGCCTCGTGTGGCACCGCGACATCTATCGCAACGACGGCGACGGTGACGCTCCCATCGTGATCCTCTCTCTCGGGGCTCCCTGCCAATTTGGGGTCGAGTCTGTCGTGACGGGCGAGCGGCGCGTCATCGAATTGCGGAGCGGCGACGCACTGGTATTTGGCGGGCCCTGCCGCTTCATCAAGCACGCGGTGCTCTCAATTGATCTCGAGCGGTCCCCCACGTGGATGCCTGTCGAGCAGCGCGCGCGTCTCTCGCTCACGTTTCGCGAGGCGTGCCACCGCCCCCACCCTCCGCCCCGCGCTTGTGGAGAGAGACCCTGTTTCAAACTGGCCTGCAGGCGCCGAGCGTGCTTGGGCAGGAGCACCTCTATCGCACCTTCAAGGCCGAGCACCTCACCGAGCAGGAGCGCTGGCGTCCAGGAGACCCGCTTGTTGGGCCACAGCCGACGCAGCAAGGTCTCGATCAGTCACTACTCCCGGCGAGGAGAGAAGCAGCGGTGGCTTGCTCCGCCTAGTGAAAATCCTAATGTCAATACTAGCAGGGAGAGCATGGCAGGGATGGGCCGTGCGGCCGACGTGTGTCCCCCCCCAGCACAGCAACTCCGTTCTGTCCCGTTATAGACAGAATCCAGTGCTTGTGCTTACTGTTAGAGCCGACACAGCTTAGACGGCTTGTCACCCGTTGTGCCGTTCTTCAGTCGAGCGTGTCTTGTCGAGACGAGCCGTCGTACAGGCTCTATCCAATTTAGCCACAGCATTATTTTCATGCTCAGGGCGCTGGCGGCTTGTGTGTGGGCGTGAAGCCAAAGACGGGTGTCGCGTCGTTTCGAGGAGAGCCACCCTCGAGTCGTCGAAGCCCTTGGCGCTTGGGCTCCCAAAGGCTGCCGCCGAGCACGAGCGAGACGATGGGTGCCGGCGACGATTGATGACGAGAAAGCCAGCGAAGGCCGAAAGCCGACGAGCGCGGTGAGGCTCGAACTTGAACTCACCGTAACACCTCCGGTGTCCATCCGGCGCATTCTTTTCCGTCAGCAGAGCGACGCTCACTCTGCGCCGAGCAGTATTCGTTCTAAGGACTTAGCTTCGCTCGACGTCCGGGTCACCTCGAGTGGCAAGGTTCACGACTTTGTGAGCACCACGCTCGAGGCGCTTCCGAGGGGTGAGGTGCGGCTGAGTGCCGTGGGAGCGGCGGTGAGCAAGGCGGTGACGGTGGCTGAGATCACCAAGCGCCGGCTTGCCGGGCTGCACCAATGCACACGCATCGGGCTCAGCGAGCCAGGCGGCAGCAGCGCCGGCTGCCGCCAACCGATCATCAGCATCACTCTCTCGCTCGCGCCACTCGCCTCTGACCAGCCGGGGTATCAGCCACCGCTGTCAGCGGAGGAGCTCGTGGTGGGGAGGGCGGCGGAAGGAGGGGACGGTGAGATGAAGGCGCGGGCCGGACGTAAGCGAGTAGGAAGCTAACCTTTTGACATGTCCTTTTCGCAAACGTAGCACAACCATTCACACACACGTACGGTACGCCGCCTCCCGCAGATAACTCCCGAAACCTCCCAATATGTGTTATGTCAATGTCGCGCGATGCGCGCATGCGGTCTGCGCAAAGCCGCCGCAGCGTCCCGCTGCCTCGCGCCACCAACAACATACTTAACGACTCTCCTACCTGCGCCAGCCAGCCCCGTCCCAACGGCCCACGCACTGGCCGCTCCGCGCTGACTCAGCCTGAGGCCCTCGCACCACCTCGCACCACCTCGCACCTCTCCGAACGTGGCGGAGATAGGCGGCGCGAGGAGGCCTCTTCAGTCCGCATTCCGCTTGCCCATCTCCGCCATGAGCGCCTGCGGGCGCGGTGCGGCGCGGGCGGGGTGTGGGTGAGCGCGGCGGGCCGTCCAACACTGGGGGGGGCGCGGGGCCTGACGCCTGAGCGAGCATATCCTTCTTCTTGTTGGCCTCGGCACCGCCCGACTGGTAGAGGCCGTTGACGACGCTCTTCGTCTTGCCTAGTCTCGACCGCACCCCCCCGCGTGACGTCGTCGTTTCGAGAGCGGCGGCGGCCGGCGGCGGCGCGGCGAGCCAAAGTAGATCGACTGCAGCGTGTCGCGCATCCGGTTCTCCATCTCCTGGGGAGAGATGAGGAAAGATTGGGAGAGATGGGGAGACCGGCGTGTCGCGCATGCGGCTCTCCATCTCCTCCACCATGCGGCCCATGTTGGCCACGTGCGACGCCACGTCCCCCACCGCCAGCTCCTCCTCCTTTTGCCGCGTCAGCGATCCGGACAGGTTCATCTCCCCCTC